GGGGGGGGGGAGGGCGTTATGTAAACTCGGCGCGTTAACGGTGTAGCGTAACAGAATAGCGAAATAGATTGCATTAATTACAACGCGTATCAGCGACGGGCTGTGTTACCGACTTGAACCGGCGAGCGGGTGAAAGCAGCCGAGTATCAATTTGTATTACGTGTCCGACAAACAATGAAGGAGAGAGAAATGGGGGAGAAAGAGAGAGGGAGAGAGGAGATTCGTAGAGGAAATGCGAGAAGAGGAGGCGGGGGTGGAGCTTGTAAACGGTGGGCGAAGAACTGGAAAAACAGAAATAAAATACGGGGAATAGAAATCACAACGCGCGCACGAGCCGCGTCGCCATGCAGAAAATGCGATCGCTGAAGGAGACGTTTCTTCCACGAATGCGAACGTGGACGAGAAGGAGAGAGAGAGAGAGAGAGAGGTGAATGCGCCATACACTCGCGTGGAAAAAGCGAACTTGTATACGGATAATAATACGACCCGCGATTGCCATGCGAAACCTTATATGCGCGAAACGCGAGCTGCAGCGGCGCGAACGACAGAGGGAGAGAAAGAGGAGAACTCTGTCATCGTGCGCAACGCGAGCGAGTCCGCGCAATTTTGGCGTTCTCGCCGAAACACTTGACACGTACTTCCGTCACCTATTCTGACACATAGCGTTTATTATTTTATTGAGCCGACAATTCATGTCGCCGCCGCGCGCCAAACGGGCTCTCTAGAAAATCGTGGGAAACTCCCTGAAGAATGTGGAAGGCGGATCGAAGCGCGCGACGCGACGCGCATAGTTTCGTTGCAATTTTAACAGCGCGTAATCGACCCCGCTTCCTGGCGTCACGCCGCCTCCGTTCTGACTTCCCGTTGCAACATTCGGTTTCTGGCCGCTCCGTTACGGAACAATAGCACGTGACACTGACACTCGTGTAATTCAATGAAGAAAATGCGTATTAATTAACGCGATGTCGATGAGAATCCGGCTAAACATTTCAAAAGTCAACGAGATATTTCAATCGAGAATTGCATGTAACGCGCCAATACGTATAAGAGCGAGTTGCCTAACTCGTACCAGTTACTAAAATCGTACTTCATTACTTTTTTTCTGTAATTATTGTATACAAGCGCGATCTGATAATAAATATATAAAATTAACAAGAGTAGTGAAAGTACGGCCAGAATTTTAATGAATTGTAATGCCCTTTCTCTGTGATATAAGCATTTAACAAATATTTGAAGTAGTACGATTTCGGGCAACTCTCTCCTATTTCGCATCACGTTATGTCCGTCGCTCTTTGGCTCGGGGCGTAACGATTCGGTTACGAAAAAAGCATGACACGAGAGAGTAGAGTAAAAATGGGCAATAAGTGCTACGTCATCTTCCGTCAATTGATAAACATCGTAGCCCGCCTGGCGATCATAACAGTCAACGCTCTCGAAACACTTCGTAACCTTCTAAGCGGTAAAAACGGTGCTCTCGCGCGTCACAGACTTTTCCGGGAGTTTCTATTGTTTTGAGACGCGACTCGCGTACTACAGAGCACGCGTATCGATATGTTAATTGCCATTCCCGTCGTGAATAAAATATTTCGTCGGCTCTGGAACTACGTAATCGATCGTTACGTTATAACACGTTTTTCTGATCGTATTTATGCGAGTGCTAATACCATAGGTGCGATATCCACGACGGAACAGCCAAGAGCGCTGAATCGGAAAGCAGGACACGAATAGCGGTATAACATACATCTCAAGGTTTGCCAAATCATTTGCTACACAGCAGATTTCCGATTTTAACGGATGTTTGGCAAATTGATCAGGAACAAAGAAATGCTCGAGACAAAATTCAGGCTAACATTCATATATCATAGTGTGTTAACATTTGAGAAGTAGTTATAACTTCATTAATCTCCTATTTCTCACCAATTTGACTTTTTTATTTATTTAAAAAAATCGATTGTTTCATTTGTATTTATTCTTAATCCGTGCTTATTTAAAGAAAAAAAAATAGATTAATCTTGCATTTACCAATATTCTTCAAATTACATTTGAAGAAACAAAACGATATTTGTGTCTTATTAATTAAACGTCGGAGTAGTTCGTTTGGTCTCTTTGAAACGCGACGAGACGGAACGGAGATTACGGTTATTCGGCACGGACGGTAAGATTGATGAAGACGGAACAACTTGCTTGTAAGTTTTACGGCGTTCGTGACGGACAATGGGTCGGAGTAAGTGCGCATGAAAATCATCGCGACGATCGCGCCGCGTTAACGAGGATTTCCCACGTACGTGCGCGGGGATGACGCGTTCGGTTTTCCCACGTGTGTGGACTCGCGGAATGAAATTGACAAGCTTCCATCGCGTGTTTGCGTGCGCACACGTCTTTTGTCTCGGCATACAAATTGCGCGTCACGACGTAAGGAGAAAAAAAAAAGAAGCCGCGCGCGCCAAACCGTCTCTTTCTTCCTCCACTCCTTACTTACCCTATCCTCTATATATTTCGCTGTCTCTCTTTTTTTTTTTTTCCACCACGTCATTAACGTATTTCAGCGCAGTTCTGCGAGCACAAGTAAACCTTGTTAGCGCACAGCCGAAAGCTGCGAGATGCACACGCGTATGCCCGCTTTTTCGTTACCAACGTGAGAAACTTGTTAGGAATACAAATTACTACTTGTGGCACTGGGGATTCAAGCCGGTCCCCGTGGTAACTAATAAACTTTCGTCCGATTCGTCATCCGGATCTCTTCAATTCGTTCCGAGTAAGTCCGGGGAGTGTGAAAGCTATTTGTAGCCGACTGTGTGTGGCCTTCGGGAGCGCGATGTCAGCGGCAGGTGCGCGCCAAGTCGGAAGGAGTCGTCGCGTATGTTGTCGCTTCCGAGTCCGACGATTATTCAACCCGCGTTTTCGACTTATTCGCTCTTCGCAACGACACTCCTCGACATTCGCAATCTAAAAGTCTGGCCCGTGGTATATATGCGTATATGACGTACTTATTAAAAATTTCGCGACGCACTCGAGATCACCGGTGGTCCAACCGCGGGGGCTCTTCAAGGGGAGTGCGACGGCGAAAGCGCGCGCAAGGACGAGAGCCGTCGTTTGAAGTAACTCGCGTAAACGCCCATGCGTTGCATACAGAATATTGCGCGAACTTTTCGACCCTGTGTACCACTTTCCATACTCATACTTTCCGTTGCGCATACACCGAGGCACATACCGCTTGTCGAGAATCGATCGTTTCCGTTTTTCGCTCTCGTCTAATATAAAATCGTCCCTTCCATCATATTTGCAAACATTTTATGCTTTCATTTGAGCGCCATGTTCGGATCAAAATTTCAAGCAAGTAATTTTAACACCGATTCAAAAGCAACGAGAGAATTTTCATAAGAAGATGGTTCTATAAGAAGTTTGAGCGCAAAGGCGTTGAAGCGTTACTCTATTTTCGAGCAAAAATCTGGGATGATGTTTTGCTCCGAAACCGGTGAGTTATAAAGCAAAGCTCTACCGACGAATTAGGGAGCGGCCGAAGGGGGGCGGAAGAGGGGGAAAGAGGATTCGGGGTTACAGCCCCGACCGAATATCCGACGCACTCCCCGGTTGTTTCGCAGCGGTACGAATTCCGGCGGGCCCCGAATTAACGTCGTTAAATTTTACGGCCGCCTCGTCGGCGGAAACCGATTCCGTTGTAAGAAGAAAAACGATCGAAGCCGGCAAGCACGTAACACGATGAAACACCGTCGCGCGCGGAGTTTCACGATCGGTTGCGGGGGGATGTATTCGCGCGTTTCTGTGTGTGTACATCGGGCGATGGAACGACGGGGAGGGACAAGGGGTGAGTGAGTGGGTGGTCATTCCTGCAGCAAAGGTAGAAAGGAACGCGGAGTTGCGCGCGCGAGTGCTTTCTGAAGACCTTTGTCAGCGTTTGCCGTCCGTATGGGCGATCGTAAGGATCTTTGGCTCACGTATCGCATTTACAACGGCGCATTGCTGCCATCGGCGTCGAGCGATTTAATGGATACGCTCGGGCTTATCGATATCGACGTGCACGAGCTCCAGGTCGCGTGCATCTTCGCGGACCCGTGCGACGAACGACGGTACTCGACGAGCCGAGGGATTTCTGGTTTAAGCGCGCTGAAAAATTCATCGCTGATCCGTCGTCGTTTCGCTGACGACGACGATGTTTGATTCCTGCAGGGAGGTAATAGCAGCCGGGCGCGTCGCTGCTTTAAAGATAGCGTGTAATGCGGCAGTCAAAGGGATTTCGTCGCAGCGAGTGTCGATCGATGCGAGTCGATCTCTAATCCGCCCCGATCACGCGAGCGTATCCGAGACCCCGTAAATTTCGCTGATTATATCTCCTGTCCAGACCGAGCGCGCGTAAATATTTTAGCCACTTAATTTCGGTCGCCCGGACTGGCAGATTTATTACCGCTGGCATTGGCGAGCTTCCAAGATTAACTGTCAGAGCTGGCAGTCGCGTACCGCCGCCGTTTCATTCGCGGCTGCTCCTTCAAGACGCGCTCCGCTGATCAGCGTCGCGGATTATCTCCCGAATGCGTTTTGTATTCATATCGGACGCTCGTCCGGTTACTCTCTCTCTCTCTCTCTCGACGATTTTTCGCTTCGGCAGGAAACTGAAAAATGTCGATTTTACACTAAAAAAAAAAACAGAATAGAAGAAATAGGATCCAGCCATTACTTAGCTAAAATCCAGTTGAGCGCGTTCGCGTTAATATTTCGTGGGATTTACACGATGACGTTTCCGATCGTCGTGCGGAAATATGACACTCCGACGATTACCGGATAAAACGCTCCTAGCAAAAAGGATTCGGAGCCGGCGAAAATTGATTTCGTCCGCCCGTTCGCTCGACTCGCCCGCTCGCTTTCAACTCGCGCGCGAGCTGTGGATTACGCGCTCAGCCGATAATTAATCGCAGTATAGCCGAGCGACAGAGCGATTAGTATGACGGTGCGCAACGGTAATATTCAAATCTGCTCGTCGTATGCGCGCAACAATGCTGCGGAATTCCGACTATATTTGCCGGGATTAAGTGCTGCTCGGTTGGGATAGCAGCCGGATGATAGTGCCGGCCGGATTCCGAGCCATCGGTCCGATAATGTTTGTACAGGCGCACGTACGTACGCGCTCCGCTCGCCGCGGTTACAATCACTGCAAAAGCGATTTTTCCCCCCCGTCGACCGCTCCGCGCATACCATCGCGCGTGCGAATTAAAAATATCCGAGCGGCGAATTAGTTTCTACCGGGGAGTCCGGCCTCGCGCGCGAATCTCCCCCGCCGATATAACCCCGATCCGCACCTGATTCAGCCCGTCCTGGATTTCACGAGACGTCGCGCATCGTGCGAAAAAAAAAAAGAAAAAAAGCGGGAGCGCGAAATTCACGTGAAATTGGTGCAATCGCGTGAACGGCGAGTGAAAAAGCGCGGCTGTAAACCGCGTTGCCTTGACATCCTTGGGACGCTCTGGAGCGCGACGACTCGGCCGTCGGAGTGAGAGAGAGAGAGAGAGAGAGCAAGAGCGTCTGCATCTCCGGGGCGCTCTCGACGCTCCTGAAGGTCGTCGTGAAGTCTCTCGATTAGCACGGAACGCCCTTTCAGATTCGCACGAATAATGGCGGTCAGCCTGGCGACGTGTCGGCGAAAAATCTACGGTGATCCTCTCGCGTGTATGGCCCTCGAAGCGCTTTCGGCCGCTTCCGGAATCCTTTCTCCACAACGCGGCTCGCGCTCGCTCGAAAGAAAAGAAAGAAAAGAAAGAGAGAAGGAGAGCCGGCGAGGGGAATTTCTTGCCGCGTTTTCCCCATTTGCATCCGGCTTAACGATCGTCGCCGCGTGTTGTTTTCGCGGACGGACGGGCAGGCGAGGCGGAGTGTGCCGGGGAATAATGAAATTCGCAGGGAAAATCAGCGAGGCCGACGTTTCGAACGTGACGTGGTCAGTCCCATCATTTTATGCAAATAAAAGCGGAGAACGCTTGATTTCCCCGTGGTGTTCCGTTGCCGCCGACGTCGTCGTCAGCAGCGTCGTCGACCGGAGACGCGGTTCCGCCGGGTTTGCGGCTCTCCGAGCTGTGGAAACGGATATATAGATCGTAGTCGGTGCTAACCAGTTACCCTCGATTCTCCGGAGAGATTCCCCGGGGACCCCGGCACGTGTCAGGGAGCGCGCGCGTGTTTACACCGCAGTGGGATGCGCTTTACACCGAGCGGGCGTGCATTCCGCATCGAAAATGCGTCTCTCGACGATACCTGTAATGGCAGCGGCGTCACCACCACCGCGAGACCTTTGACTTCGACCGTTCATCTCAAACGGCTGAAGCACAGATATAACCCGCGATTTTGCACCCCACAACGGTGATTGCTGTTGCCTCGCCGATTACCGTCGGCTTGTCAACGTCGATCTCGTCTAATTGAAATTAATTGTGTTCTTAGCTCGAAGTGAGCACACACTCTCTTTACATTCACAGTTATTCGCGCGTCCAGGCGTCTCGCTGTCAATGAACGATCGAGTGTTAAGGGTGACTCGGTCTTCCTTTGCACCTTCGTCGCACTGTGGTCCGTCGTATCGGGGGAATTACAAGCCGATCGTACAATCGCTGCGGGAGTGTTCTTCTCGAGAGACCGCGAATAGAGATCGCGCTTTAACGGCGGCCCGATTATCGCGTCGCGTCTCCGACGTCGTCGACGGACTTCGGCTGGCTATCGGAGCGTGAGTTCGATCGGCCCGCACAACTTGCCGCGACAATTAAATAATCCCGTCGAAATGCGCTCGCGCGCCAATCCTCGCGGATTCTCGTACTACTCACCCAGCGAGAGTACCGCGACTTGGCCGAACGGAACATTGCGGGACAGCGGGTGCATCTCTCTCTCTCTCTCTCTTTCTCGTCTATAATACGTTGCACCTTGTCCGTATTCGCAACGGTGGACACGCGGAGCCGACAGGTAACGCAACACCTGGCGTGACCGACGCGCCGAAGATCACGCGGAAACTGACTCTTTTCGATGCCACGCTGTCGGTAGTATCCTCGCCGTCCCGGAGCGGAACCGCCGAGCGTACGTACGTTGACTTTTGCTTTTGCCCGTCGCTGCCTTTCGCCCGTGGTGGGAAGGAAGAAGGAGAGACAGAGCGGCCGTCGCACTCTCGAGACAGTAATCGACCAATGTACGAGACGAGACGAAAGCAAGAAAACGACCGGGAGCAAAGCTGCTCGATTCGAGAGCGACGAATGCCCTTCGGCGTGGCCGAAAATTGCCCTTCGAACATTTTGACTTTTTTTTTTTCTCTACGTTACACGCAGTTTTTCCCCCTCACATCCTACTTGGATCGGCGTGATTAATCAATGTGTCGGGGAAGCATGATAGAAACGAGTCACTAACGCGACAATGATAGTTAATCAAGTAACTCGTATGTCTTGAATAAACTAAATAGTTCAAAAAAACTATTCGGATTTGCAGCTGTGTTTCTTTCTTTTCACAGTAACGAAACGGGTGCTTCTTGCCATGAGCGATTAAAGTTCTGGTTCGCGGAGCTCGCATCTCCTTGCGGATCTTTATTGCCCTTACGGCGAAACGAGAGCGACGTGAAACGCGAGTCCGCCTGCTGGGCACGGGAATCAGAATGAGCAAATACTAATTACACTGAACTGCGTCAAATTTAA